AATGATGTACTGATAGATGCTGTGCCAAGGAGGAACCTTGAAAACATTATGCTAAGTAAAATAAGGCAGCCACAAAAGGACAGATATCGTATGATCCCATTTATATTAAATGTCCAGAACAGGCAAATCTATAAGAACAGAAAGTAGACTATCGGTTTCCAGGGGCTAGGGGAAGTGGGAGGAAATGGAAAGTGACTGCTAATGGGTATGGAGTTTTCTGGGAGATGGCGAAATTGTTCCAGTAAGTAAATAAGAAGGGATGGCTGAGTATCTGACACAATCACTGTGCATTGCCCATGCTGAGTGAATAAACTGTAAACTATGGACATTTAAGCCATGGATAGAGTGGGGCACAATGAGCTGCACTTCAGCCAGGATCCAGCCAAGGTTATGGGGCTCTGATCTGCCCCCTCTTCACTGCCATGAGTGAGTTTTAACTTTAATTGAATATTTGCACAGAAGGGACTTCTAATTCAGAACGTATTTTTATATTTTAATTGACAACGTTACTCCTCACCCGTCCATAACTGTGCTGCCAGGGAACTGGAATAGGTGTTCCAGAACATGAAGATAGCAGTTATAGAAAAATAACTATATGTCTATAATTAAATTTAGAGGTGGGGCACAGTTGTGGTATATACATTTTCATGCCCCATTATATGCCTAGAGAAGAGGAGATTAAGTCTTTAAGGAAGAGAGAAAAGAGAAAAAGAGTTAAGCAAAGAGTAGCCAAACTATGGTAGACACCTTCATGTTTTACTTGCACATGACCCCTCTCACTGCCCAAATAATACTCTTTTTGATTATCTCCTCCCGAAAAAGCTTCCCTTTCCAAGCTACAACTAACGAGTTTTGTTAATTCTTCCACATTTGGTGTAGATATTAGCATATCTAAATCTCATTAAGGAGTTCGTGTAACTTTGTCTCAAGGAAATAGCAAGCAAAACAACATTCAATTAGCCTGCACTCCAGTTGACCGTAGAAGATATAAATGAAACAAGTAGAAAACAGTCCAAAGTAGATCCTGGTCCTTGGGCTCATTAAGGTGTTGTTCATGAGATAAAGAAAGGACCCACGAGGGAAGATCTGTTTTGTCATGAGGAAAACAAAATGTGGGTCATCAATCTGAATTGAAAAGTAGGTAAAGAATCCCGGTATTTATTTGCATATTCATTCCACTATAAAAGGGAACTAATCACCACCTCCACTACTACAACCTTGTGTTATATGTGTACAAGGTTAGATCAAAGTGGTAGCTAATAATATTACATTTTGCAGTTGTTCAAGGATGACAGTTGAGAAAGTTTGATGACAGAGGATAAAAATAACACTTGTTTGGTCATAAATGGAAGTTTTTTTTTTTTTTTCATTGAACTATGTGCACATTCTTCATCCCACCCACACCTCCGGAAACCTAAGAAAATAATTTTGCCACGTTAATAAGTTTTCGCTACCTGATCAAATTATAATAATTCTCTTTTTTCCTGAAATTAAAAAAAAAACTATATTTGTAAACCTGTGGCCACATTGAGGTAATGATAAAATAATCAGTAACTATTGGGTTAAATTCAATTTCGAGTTTAACCACAGAGCGAATAATGTGCATAACCTTTGTTCAGGCAGTTTTTCACAGTTGTATAACAAAACATTTGACAAGAGTTAGTTAATAGCCATTCAGAGGCAGATGCAGAAGCAGAAATGCTTATAGTTTGAATGTGCTTTGTTGACAAAGAGAGGGATGGCCTATTTATTTTTTATTTTTTTATTTAAAAGGGACAAGGAATCTTTACCTCCCAGCTTGAGAGTTGGTCACAAAAAGCAGAAGACACCTGAATGTTTCCTCTGGAGGGTATTATCACTTCACTCCAGTGTCAGTGGCGGGTAGAAACACATGTGCTCTATCACACTTTGACCTTTACACTTAAAGTCAAGAGAATCCTGAGCAAGGTCAGTTTTCCCATCTAGTGTACACTTTGCTGAGATGTAAAACAAACAAACAAACAAACAAACAAGAAAGCAACTGAAAATCCATTTTCACAGAATTTGTTCTGTAGATTTCACTTATGTTTGAATGAAATAAGTTTATTTCTACACCGGTGACTTTGCAAGAAAACGAGGCCAGGAGAGGCATTTCCTCAAAGGCTAAAAGGAGGCATTACCACAACCCCACTACTTGCCAGGGGATTTGCAAAGCATGTTGAGGCTCAAGGTTAGTGTGGGAGATGAGCCAGGCTCAGGAGAAGTTAACATAGAGAAAAAGGTTAGTGGTTTCTGTTTTTTTTTTTTTTTTTTTTTTTTTCCCCACTTTGAGCCAGCCAATACAACAAAGTGCTTGAGATCGTAACTCCTAGTGGTCAGGTAATGGTGTATTTTCTGCAACGATCATGTTTGGGTTTGTCTATTTTCTTTATGCCTGTGAGGCTTGAAATTGGCATTTAGAATCCTTGGGGGAAAAGCTATTTTTGTAATTCAGCTGGGATGTCCTTGTCTCAGGGTTTCCCATTGCATCAGTCCCTTAGCCTGGTACGATAGCCATGATAGTGCTGTGTCTTTTAGATGAAGTGCAGAAATAAGGACATGATTATGGTGCTTATTAAAGATTCCTTGCTATTTTCACGAGAGTAGGGGCGTTAGACTCTTGTCTACTGGCCAAATTCTAAATTGGGAGATTACGTTCTGCTTTCCTAAATTCCCCGAGTAGAAGCAGCCATCCATGGTATCCTACTTTGCTTCCTTTGCTAAACTGTTGTGCGATATCATTGAATGGCACTGGTTTTCTACTCCAGAAGTGTTCACTTCTTAGTGGAGTGGTGAGTAAATCAGTACCTATTGTCTGCCATTGTATTTGACCCAGTTGCAAACAAATTAAAAGGTAGGCTCTGATAGTTAAGGAAAAGGACAAACAAAACAAAACACCCTAACAGTGTACCAGCTGTTGTGGAACATTAAAAAAAAAAAATCTGTTTTCTCTTCTACAACATAAACCCAAAAAATTAATGCTTTTTTTTTTTAACTCCACTAGTAGTGAACAATGGATTGTTATTTGCCTCAAACAGGACGATAGTTCTAACAGAGATGATGAGGTTTGAGAAGATGAGATCGTGTATCACAAACCAGTTAACCCCTCTCTTTTGTCGTTAGGCTACATGGAGCCATTCTCGACAGCTGATCTACTTCATAAAATCTCATTTTAAGGAGGTTTTTCATCTTTCCTTCGTAACATTTCGTGTTTCTCAATCTTTCCATAACAATAAAGTTCTTATTTTTGTTTAACCTCCATCCCACCCACTGTAGTTTTAATGTCCCCATCTTCTATCCATCGCTAACCTTGCTATCACATAGTGGTATTGAGGGGCAGTATGGCACAATGGTGTGTTTTTTGAAATCAGCCATTTAAATCCTTGCTCGATAACTTTCTAGGTGTGTAATGTTGAGCAAGTTACTTCTGAGGTTCAATTTCCTCATCTGTAAATGAGCAACCTCAAAGGGTTACTCTGAAGATCAAATGAGGTAATGTATTATTTTGAAGGGTGGTGGGGTAAGGCAAGGCATAGTAGTCAGCACCTGAAAAGTGCTCGATAAATAATAGTTATTTATTGGATTGTGTACACGGATCTGACTTAATTCATAAACTCTTTGAGAGTGGGCAGCATACTTCCTGGATTTTGACATAAGTACACTGTCGTGCACATAGGATGGTGCAGAGGCTCAATATTTATTGCACGAAGAAACTTTTTTTCCTCCTGAGTGGAATGAACAGCCCTCAGCTATTTGCAAGATCCCACACATTTAGCTCAAAGGTGACAAAATCAATCAATCCTCTGATGTCTCCAAATCTACAGACACCTGCCTTTGTCTAGATGTTTTGGTATGGTGTAGACAGAACGCAAATAACTCACACTTTCTGTTTCTATCAGGCTAATTTCTATGAATGTTAGCACTTGATTTGTCTTAGGTGCCCAGAATGGGGCTGACTCAATCACACGCCTCCTCATTCATTCAAGCATCCTTTGAGAAATTTTTTAAATGAATACTAAGAACTATCAAATTATATACCAGAACAAAACCTTTCAACTTGTGACTAAGTGCACTACCTGCCCTATTTACCTGTAAGATCTGTGCTGACTACAGATATATTTCTAATTGCTTTGCTCCCAAGCCAAAAAAACCCCCCCAAACAAACAGAACAATAACCTACCGCAGCAAGTTCCAGAGCACAAACAACATCTTTGAACCGGGGAGGTGTTGGTTAGGAATTTCTTTTTTTGCTTTTGAAAACGTTTGCACGGGGCTGGGAGGGAGGGAAAGTTGGGGGAACAAGGGAGGGGTATACAGATTCAACCAAGCTTGAACATTTGTCAATAAGGAAAGAGTATTCCCTCTTTACCATAATCTTGGAAAACTCCGGGTGCGTGCTTAGGTGGGTACTAAAGCGACCGCAGTGTGGCCATTTCCCCGACTGCTTTGTACATACTTTATAGGGGCGGTCTCAGGTATGGAGCTCCAAGCACCTGCTTGCTCAGCTCCGGCAGTTAGGAAACCAGCGTATTTGAGGCCGGTGCCTCAGGTTTCACGTAACTCGGCTCAAGTGTCACTAACACTATGTGCAGTGCCGGTCATCGAGCTGTGCTCTGGGACTCGGATACTTAACTTCGGACTTTCTTCTTTCTCTCCCCCCCCCCCCACTAGTTTTCCTTTCCCTTCTTCCTGCCTGGGCGTGCCCACCTCCTTCCTTTGCTCCTACTCTCCACTTTCGCGTTCTCGTTTCCTTCTTCCTTTCTAGTGGGCTTCCCGTCTTTCATCCATCGTCTGAGGGCCACAGGGCTCGAGGCTGCGGCTCGGAGGAAGCGCGAGTCCCGCGGGACAGGCGCGAGGGGCCGAGCGGCGAGAGCGCGGGGCGCGCGCCGGGCAGCCGCGTGGCCGGGCGGCCGGCCGGGAAGCGGC